ATTACTGGCCTTTTTGTCACTTACTTATGAAGAGTTTTGTGCATTAAGTGTTCCTTCTCTTGTATACATCATGTTCTAGAATATTGAACTCAAATAGAAAATAAATTTTGATGGCTACTGGCGTGTTTGATCCTGTCCTTTTCGGTACTCAGCTGAAAAAGGGAGACAACTGAGTGACAAACACTTTTCTTTATGGATGGTCTTCTAATTCTGTGGTAAAAAAGCAGCACCTGAAGTCTTTCTTTTCATTCTGACTCTGAATCAAAATTTCATTCTTTAATGTTGTTACTTGAATTGCTGTTCAGGTGATGAAGCTCTGCAGGATATCTGGTCTCTGATCAAGGTCCGGAGGTAGAAATCATATTTAATAACATTTAAAGTAGTTTGCAGTTCTGTAAGAGTCCATCAGAGTATCTGGAGAACAGGGACATGGAATAAGACGCTTAACAGTGGTCATGCATGCAAGAAAGCAGTGCAGACCTTGGAGCTTGAGTCTCTGTATGAGGATGTGCCAAATTACAGCCTTATATTGTGATGTATTATTGTATTCCCTGTTTGGCTTGGTCTGTGGAGCGTATTACTGTAATGATATGTGGTATCGAGGCTGTGTTAAGCCTTTATTATTAAACTCTTATAACCCCTGTGGGACTGATGGTTTGTGGTTTCTCAGGACCACTTCCAAAGCAGCACGCAATCATTTTTTTATGGATTTTTTTTTCCTGGGGATGTTGGTTTATTGCTAAAGTCTGGTTTTGTTTTAAAAGGAAAAAAAAAAAGGCAAGAGAAAAGGATAAGAGAAGTTATTGATTCAGCTTCTTTGGTTTCCAATTGGTGAGTCAAATATCTACAAATCCTTGCAGGGAGAATTTGTAAAAAGAAAAAAAAGTTAGTGGCTTCTCAGAGGGACTTACTGTAAAAGTCTTAACTGAAATTCTGAAACAGCACTTAGGTAAACATACAGGTTCTTGATTAAATGTGGATTATATAAAAGTATGTTCTCATTCTGTGTTGCCACTGCTTGTTTTCAGTTTGTGTATTACATTTTGATCAATGATGAAATCAAAGCAAGGACAGTATTTGCATTGGAAGAGGCAGCTCAAGGTTAACAAAACAAACAGGAGGAAGGATTTGCAGGAGACTGAAGGTGGGGAGCACTGGAGTGGAAAAGGGATGTGTGTGGGTGAAGAGATACAGGGTCAGGGACACCTGAAGTGCATCCTTTGCCTCAAATACAATCAATCCTCATACCTGGGTGGCTTATCTGGAGTGTGGTGTAACTACAGCAACAAGTGTAGCCACCTCAGATTTGCAGGGTTTTTGTGTGTGTTTTTTTTTTGTTTTTTTTTGTTTTTTTTTTTTTTTTTATGTGGCCACAGCACAGGTGATTGTCCAGAGGATGCTGCCAAAATTTTAATGTAAAAGTTTTGTGAGCATGCAACCTTTGTTTTTTTTTTTTTTTTTTTTTTTTTTTTTTCCTTCAGGACTAAACTGTGTGAACTGTGTTCTTTCAAAGTCAAGGTCAGCTCTTCATCCAGTATGGAGCATTGTTGGAACAGAGTTTAAATTTGTTCCCAGAGCAGCATTGAGTCTCTCTGCACAGTCTGCCTTGGAGCTCCTCTTTCCCAAACCAAACAGGATCCTTGTGTGTGTTCCATAGTGGTGAGATCTCCTGGAAGAGGGGTCTCATACGGCAATCCTCCAAGCTTCAAAAGGGCTGTGGTGGAGGACATTCAGGTAGCCCTGCACAACACTGATTTTTGGAGGGATGATGGAGCAGATTCACATGTTGGTCCATTTTTTGGTGCTGTAGCTGGATGGTGGGTGGGAAGGTAACCCAGAGCATAGGTCCCGATGCAACTTTAACGCTAAGTTGACACAACATGACCCAAAGCAACTTTGCAGTGTGCCTGGTGAGGTCTCAGATGTTGTTATTCCCAGCACCGAGAGTGTTCTAAGTGAATGTTTCTGCTGCCTTTGCTGTTTCTGATGGATTGGATCCAATCCAGAATTGCATTTGGATTTTGCTGTATCTTATATTTTCTTTTTTTTTTTTTGCTTTTCTTTTTTAAGGTGCTGTAGCCACTGAAAAAAATGATTGTAGCTAACGTGAAAACAGATGTAAAAGGCTGGCATAGTGGTGTGTGCAGCCTTATAATAAGCTGTGCATATTGGCAAGTTATTGGGTGTCACATTTCATGATTTGGGCATAAAGGCTGCTCTCCTGTTAAGAAGGCAGAAAAAAACCCAAACACTGAAGCTGCTTTATGGAAGTGGGTAGCTGGAAGGTTGGGGACTGCTCCTTCAGATATAAACACTTCTTGGCACCCAAGCAAGGGCATATGTATGTGGGTATGTTTTACATAATGTCTTATTAAGTTTTATTTGCCTTTGAAAGATAGAACAGACTCAGGGCTGTGGGGGAAGGCACTGGGCACAGACTGAGAAGCCTCTTTATCTCTGGAAAAAATATTCTAGAAAGCTGGGAGGATCATGAAGTAAGTGATATCTGGAAGAGATTTGAAGCTAGAAGCAAAGAAGCTGTTCTTGTGTTCGTGGAAGCAGACCTCGGTGTATTTGCAAATAAATCTGGTTTGCCTCAAATGCTTATCTCCATCATCTTCTGAAAAAGATAACCTATAGCTTTGAATTCTGCTGAATTCAAATAGCTTTCTGGGCAGAAGAAAGGTGACACAAGATTATCTTCTCAGCCTTTTTCAAGTTCATAGCTTCTTCCCTTTTGAGGTGTAAATGCCAGAACTAAACACAGTATTTTAATAAAGATCCATAGTTTGTAAAATTACTTGCCGGTGGGGAGGGATGAGGTGGGGCAGGAAGAGGGGGAGAATTGTCTGTAGTGCAGGTCATTCACAGTGAATTTCATGTTGAAACTGTGAAACTAACAGTCACATGGAGGACTGGATTGGAAAAGGGAGCTCACATGCTTACTCTGCTTGTAATTTTTTTTGTTTATAGGAGGAAGATAATGTTCTCAGTTAAGGGAATGAAACTTTATACTATTTTTGTGGGCTGCAATAATGGTATTAATTTGATGCTTGTAATACTTTTCAGCCATTCTTGGATAAGTCCTAATATTTCATGCGAAGTGTGTGAATGCAAAATATATTGGAGGAAAATGAACAGTGTTTAAATTTGGCGTTAACTACAAAGCAATACTTTATGTTGATAAAAATCTCAAGTTTTTTAAAAGTAGAACCCCACAGAGATACTTCAGAATTAATTGATGGCAGATGAATTTAATGCAGCTAAAATGAATTAAACCCCTTGCCATTTAGAATAATATAAAGATGTCTGAATTTTATTCCCAAAAGAGGAAATACAGTTGTTAAGTCCAGATGGATTTCTATTTTTATTGGAATAAGTTTTGAGACTAGTAATATCTTTCTTTTTTTTTTAAATGTTACTACCATAATGTTGGATCTGCGACAGCACAGACCTGCTTTTAAAAAACTGTTTTAAATACGGTTAAATGAACAGTTATACTAGTTTATTTTGAAAATTAGCGCTTTCTTATTGAATTTGTAAGAGTTGGAAAATAAGTACGAGGATGACCTACAGTATAGAAAAGCCAAGGGCTCAATCCTCTGCCAAGTTATCAGCTGAAACGTGGTAACTGCCCTGTCTGTGACTGTAGCCTGCCCAGATGTAAGGTGATGCAGTGGCAGCTTAACCTCTTTCCAGCACCCAAAATCTGACTGTGCTTTTTGCCTTGCACTGAGGGCTTGTGCTGGGGCAGCTGCTGTGGTGCTGCAAAGGATGCACCATCAGCTCATCACATCTGAGGCCTTGGTTACAAAGAGCAACTTTGAGGGATTCAGTCTGTTCATTTAGCTGAAGATAAGAGGCAGTTCCGCTACTGCGGTGTCAGTTTAAAGCTTCTCATTCCATAAAATCATTAGTCCTGTCATGGTGGTTTGTTCTTTGCTGCTTTTTAGCCATTGACAAGTGGGCTTTAAGTTCTGGGCCCAGTTCTGCTCCACTGGTGATGGAGTAGAATTCAGTAGACTTTCTCCTTCAGTTGGGATTGGTATCAAAATGGATGGTAAATCAGGAGGCTTACTACCAAAATATGTGTTGGTTTGTCTCAAGTAAGAATGCAGCTGGAAAAAACCCTACCATTGAGCATGGTACCATATTGCAGCTCCACTTGGAACAGAATATCAAGTTATTACTGATATGTTTTGCAAACAGGTCCTGGAGGTATGGTATATGAGGAAAATGAATGATTGATAAAGAGGTCTGGATCATGGCATGAGCTAAATGCAAGCTGGCAATAAGGGTTTCTATATGGCCAAATGTCAAGTTGCATGTGTGAAAGCTAGGAACTGGAAACCACAACTGAAGTAAAGTGTGCCCCATCATATGAAACAGTAACTAAAAGTATGGGGCATTAACTGATGAGCAAGAGTTGTCATTTGCGATCATGGATAAAAGCGCTGTTGTGATCCCCAGATGGCTAAATAAAAGGGTATCAAGCAGAGAGGTTGTATTTTCTTGATACTTGGCACACAGGGTACAAGGGTGAAGGATACTGATAAATTGAAATGTATTCAGCTGTGGAACCACTAACGTGAGTAAAGATGTGGAAAACATGGTGAGAACTGCAAGGAGCACAAAATACTTGTCTTAACAAACAGTGTCAGGGAAGAGCTACATTTAATAAGAAGAAGCTCTCCAGTCTAGCAGTTAAAAATATATTATGATTCAGTTTTGGTAAGGTTGACCAGGCTTATTAAGCATGAAATGAAATTATTTTCAATAAATTGTAGGTACTTTGTTGGGTAATCACATTGTGATTTTTGCATCCTCCAGCGTTCTGCCTTTGCTAGATGCCTGTTTTGTCTGGCTGGTGAAGAAGTTGTTCTGCTTCCTGGTGGAAGGGAGCATAAGGAGTTACTTAAGAAAAATAACAAGAAACTGTTACGGCAAGAAATGGTGCTAAGAAAAAAAGGGGAAAATGAACTTGTACTCTTGTGTTACAGATTCAGTGGTTCTTTCCTTTGACTCCGTTGGACATACGATAGGCTCAGGTACAACATTGCCTTCTTCTCTATCTCCCACCTCATAACAAGGCTTCTATTTAATCGGACATGGTAGCCATGTTGGGAGGCAGGTCACTGAGTCAGACTTCTCTGAGAATCAACCATCTAGCCAAAGTGGGTAAATAGGTCCTTTTGTAAGTTTAGTGAAAGGACTAAGGGTCTTAGTGCAACACGGGGACTAAGATGTGGGACCCCTTCCATTACCCAGTAACGCAGATCACCTGGACACGTTACATGCGTTAGTGATGCGGTTTGTGCTTCTTTTCTCATGTGAAAGGCATTAAGATGATGTCACCCACCAGCTGAAGAGAAACTGTTCCATGCTACTAAGAGAGTTTCTCAGCTAAACAAACAGTTGAGTTATTTGGGGAAAGACATCGGGAATGCTTCCAGGAAGGAGAAGGCGAAAGAGTCGTAGTTAGACAAACAGGGCTGGAAACTTTTTTTTTCTGGGTGGAAATTGACCAGCATTATCAAACCTCAGGGAAAATGCTGCCCAATCTAATTTCCTTTGGAACCTGAACACGACCTTCAATTAAACTGAACCAGAAATTAAAAATTCTTTTGTGTTGGGGGCACTTCATGAAACTAGTAACTATCCATTTGGCTACATGTAATATGTGAGTCGTAGCCGAGGCACACCATAGAGAGCACAATACTGGATAAAATTCAGTTTACAGTGTATGTATGATATATGAAGTGCAAAGGAAAAGCTAAGAATTACTCTTATGAGTTAAAACCCTTTAAAGATGGGGATATTTACTGTCTTGGGGAAAAAAAAAAAACAACAAACAAACTAATCCCAGTGAAGATTTTATATTTTGTCTTGCTTACTAGCCTTTCCTCTTAGGTTGATAGGGGGAACGTGCTGCCTTCCAACATAGCACCTGTCTTCTGCCTGCACAGTTTGAGAGAGAGCCCACTGCCTGGCACTAACAGCAAAGCTTGAACACAGATTTCCAATTTACTAACCCCCGAGCTAGTGATAGTAACTTGCTTTGTTTACAACACTCCAAATGCTTTCTGCTCTCCCTGCATCTTCTCTAAAACTTATATCAACCTGGAAATGGATCTATTGTGGGTGCGTGGTCTGGTGTGAGAGTATTGTTAAGGTGCTGAGTGCAGAATGGATATGTTGTTGTGTGTATGGGAGAAGAGACCCTCTATTAACTCTCTTTAACTACTTACTATCAGTTATAACTGAAGTGTGTCATTGCCTGCCTCCTTCTGTGTTAGGTGATGGTTTCTTTAGCCTGCAAAAGCAGGGGAGAAGTTGCATAGGTTTGAACTACGAAATCTGTGAGTAAAATTCAGGGAAATACTTTGATTACAGCTGAGTATGTCTGACTCTGTGTACCTACACCAGAGTTATGCTGGATTGATGTTGGTACAGCTAAGACCAGAATTTGTCCTGGAGTCAAATTTTAAAATATTACTTATGGATTTTTTTCCCCTATTACTATTTTGGCTTCTAACTGTTGTGAAAACAGTTAACCTTGTGGATAGCTTCCAGTGCAGGGGATCTATGGAGTTAATCATAAAGGTTGTGTTATGATACTACCAATAGGGTGGTAAACTTAGTTATGAAAAGTTATGAAAATAGTTCAACTGCTCCATGTCTTTTGGAGGTCTGTTAACATGGAGGGTGGGAGACAAGCTAATACGAGCTAACAGACTGTCTGGGTCTGTTTTAAAAGCACTGGTCTTTGTTCTGCTTGTATATTGTGACTCAAGCTTGGATTGGTTTGGAGTGAGACAGTAAAATTTGATCTTTTGTAAACCCTTCCGCTGCAACGAGATTGAATTTCTTTGTTGAAGAAATTTGAAGAAAATTCATATATTGGGGAAGAGAGCCTCAGAAATGTCTGAGAATGATGTATGTTTATTGCTTTCATATTTAGTACTTTGCATTCACTGTGCTGCAAACTTTAACTTGCTCTGAACTGATATGTGTAATATGATGTCAAGATGTGTGATGCCTGTCCAACTGAGGGGTAGCTTTCCTTGTTGAACAGGAAGGAGAGAGAGAAAAACTGTGGCTATTGTGCTTCCGCTGTCCATCCCATCTCACCCTGCTGCAGACCCAGGAAAAGACAGAGCCCAGAAAGAACCCAAAGAAACAATGGCAGCTCCAGGCCCAGCCATTCCTAGTAGGTGATGTTTCAGGTTGGGGTAAGAAGGGACTGAAGTAACATACTTTGAAACATAAAAATACCTATACCTTTTTCTTTATTAGTTGGGATTAAACAGCTGTGAGTAATAGTCTCCCTGTTAAGATTTCATGCTGCTTAAAACTAGTACTCATTAACTTATATTTGCATATTAAACAGTTTCTTAGAATTGCTCTTTTGTATTTGTAATCATGCCATGTGAAGGGCAATGTCTTGTTGCAGCTTCTGTATTTTATTTGAATTGACTGTTTGTCCTTATCTTGGTTTTCCCCTTACTCTTTGTCCCACACACAAATCTCAAGTCTTCAGGGAGACTGGAAATCTGTCCTTATGCATTTCAGATAAATGTCATTCTCTAGGTTATTCCAGATAAACTTCCTGAACTGAATGTTCAGAAGATCATCTGGTTCTGGAGCCTTCAAGTACTGCTTCATGGAAGATCATTAGCCTAGAGGACATGAGAATGAAATATGCTTGGAGAGAGAATGAACTGAGATTCACGCTGTGGTCTAGCCTTCGTGAATCCAGATGTTTTTGTGATTTTCTTCATCGCTGCCCCCTTCCCTTGAAAGACAAAATTTGATGCAGCAAAGATAAATGTTTGATGTGATTTCTAGGCCAGTGTTTCAAGCCATTTCAGAAAGGAGAGTGTCGTGCTCTGAACTTGGGAAACATAAAGCAGGACACGGGGTGTTTGAGGAGACATAGATTTCATTCGTTTGCCATAGACAGCTAGTACTCTTTTTTTTTTTTTTTTTTTTTTCCCTATTTGTTTTTTTTTTTTTAAAATGTAGCAATTCTTAATTTCGGGTAGAAGGAAAAAAAAAAAAAAAAAAGCC